TTAGTTTTATTTTGAAGAATTCAATGCCTTTTAAGACTTTTTAAGGACCCGCGGGAACCCTGTGAACAGATATCATTGTTTAACATGACAGACAAGTACTCCGCACGACGTAGGTCATAGTCATTCCAAAGAAGTTAAAAAACAATCCACTGGACTTTGTTTCCAAATTTCTTCTTCGCTGATTTAGTTTAACTATACTAAAAAAATAAAATACTAAAAAAAAATGGGAAAATAGAACAGGCATAATATAGATTTCACTCAATTCACAGCATAGTTCAGTGTTTACATAAGATCCTTTAAAGTAAAGAAAAAGGTTTCCTTAGATTAATTTAACTTTTAGTTATTGCTAATTGAATGGCCTTAAAAACATGAAATATTTTTCAGAAATATTGTTTTTCTATGTTCTAAATTGACGGCATTTGCAGCGCATGCAGCAAACCTTTAGCTAAACAATAATATCACTCTGCTGCAGCCACAAAAAAAACAAGTTTAACTGCTTCCTGAAAGTCTCACAAATCAAAAGTGTGACAAGCGTCTAAATTTAACCACCAGATAGAATTGGGTGCCTTGCAAAGCGGCTTGATTTGTTTAACCGGTCCTTCTTTTAGTAGATTTATCTCTAATATTACAGCAGATGTTGTTTATACAAGCCTCTCTGTGGCTGGAATGTGGAAAAGTCGCATTTGGATGAATACTTATGTCAGTTGTTCTGTGCCAGTGCTCAGACTGGTCTAACTGGACAAACAACTGGTTCTAAGCTTCCCTACGGCGTGAATCAATCTTTATTATGTCCGTTAGCTGCGTCAGGGGTCTAAATCCGTAACACTAATGGAAGCTACAGCTATCAGCGCTTTAAATGATCCTGCGATGTTGCTGCAGTTTCATCTAGAAGTAGAAGAAGAAACAAACCTGCCAAATTTCTCCGTGTTCCCCGTCTTGCCCTGCTGAATGACGTGGATGAAGTCGTGCGTGAGGATGAAGGGAACGCGTTCCCTTTTGATGCCGAACTTGGACTTGAAGTTGCCGAGGATGTGACCGAAGTCTATGTGGAAGAGCTGATGGAAAGCAGGGGGAACAGTGAGGCTAAGCTGGGCTTAGTTAGAGGCTAAATGCTGATGTTCTGTCAGACCAGCATACCTATAGTCAATATGCATGTGCAAATCATCAGATTTGCGTGTATCCCCTTAGTTTTGCATGAAAAATAGACTTTAAACTACCTAAACGGGCATGTATCCCTTTAGTCATGTACAAAAAAAAAATATTTAATGTCAGATCACCATATACATGAAAAAAAAAACAAAGTAATAGGGCGTGGGCGTCTTGACGTAATTACTTTGTGTGGCCGCCATGTTGATGGCCTCCTTTATCGCTGCTCAGACTACTGCCTACGACTACCGCGTACTGTACTCCCTCTCAGCCGTGTTTTAATTTGATTAATTTCACCTTAACTTGATTTCAACCATGGTAAACCGTTGCTGTATTGTGGGCTGTAACGGC